GCCCAAGGACAGGGGGAAGGGTTTCCCAATGACAGGCTGGGATAGACAGCGTTTTTCAAAATTTGCTAAAGTCAGGGGGGGCGGGCCCTGGTTGAGGGTTTGGGAAATTCAAAGTGCCCCAGACGGCCCGGGTTTCACCAAAAAGGAAGGTAATGGGCCAGGAGTAGGATAGACAGGTTTTTTTTAAAGGGGAGAACTTGCCTTCTGGGCACCTGAGGGGTTCGGGCGGTGGAGTTTTCCCCGATCACCTTATGCTATCTGCCCACCTTGAATTTTCGGGACACGCCGCGGGAGGGAAAAGGGGCCCATCGGGAATAAATTTCCCGTCTCGGTTTGGAGGACGAGGAGGTTAGACGTTTCTTTCGAGGGGGTTCTTTCAGGGCCCCGGAGACTGGCTGGATTTTTTTCCAGCATAATTTCTAAAGTGGGGGGAGTCCCCAAGGTGGGGACCCAGCGGGGTTTTTAAAGGCCATTTTGGTAAGAGACGGCCCCTTTTAAAAACGGGTATAAGCCTACCAGGGGTTTGCGGAGGAAGTTTCAAACCGCCTTTTTTAAAAAAGGGGTTGGAAAATTCCCGGGGGGGGGCAAACCCCTGGGGGTTTTTAAAGTTCCCTCAGGAAATTTCCCAGTTTGATCCGGGCCCGTGCCTCTTTGGTTCTGGAGGGGTTATGGGAAATCCATTTCCCCCCGACCCTTTCCAAATTTTGAAAAAAGGGGAGTGCAGCGGGTTAAGACGATCTTGCTTTTGAGGGTTTGTAGGGGGTTTCCCTGACAAAATCCAGGGGGGGGGATTCTGGGGGTTTTTCCGGGGGTCCTTTTTATGGGGAAATTTACGGTGAAAGCACCTTGACCGGAAGGGTGCCCGGGCTTTTTGGAATCCCCGGCCTTTTCTGGACAGTGATGTCCCTCTGGCTTTTTTTGGACTGGAGAAAAATTATTTGCAGAAGGGGGTGTCCAACCCAATTTTAAATAGTCTGGCCCTTAAAAAGACCCCTTTGGGGCCAGACGGCCCTGACAGCCGAATTTTTTAAGGCTTTTTAAAATCCCCCTGGACCCCGGTCCCAAGGGGGAAGTTTTTATAAAGCTGTCTGGTTTGGGGGTCTCTCCCCCCTTTAAATAAACCCGTCTGCAGTTATCCTCCTGAAAAGGGGAAAAGGGATCCTTGGGCTATTGAGAACTGGCGCCCCCCCATCCCCTTTCCCTAAAGGGGCGTTTTGAAAGGTTTTTCTGGCGAAGATTTTGGTTCTTGGGCGTTTGGGTTCGCCCAGTGGGGGAACATTTTTGCTTTCCACCCCTTTCCAGCATTGCTGGGTTTTTCAGGGGGGGGAGAAACCTTTAAAACCCGGTGTTACTGCCCGGGGAGGCTCTGGAGCGAAAAAAAGGGCTGAAGGAGGGGAAAGTTACTTGCTGGCGGGGGATCAGGCAAAGGCCTTTAAACGAGTTGATCACAAGTACCTCTGGCAATCCTTTCCATAGACCGGTTATGGTTTGGAGGGGAGGTTCATCGGCTGGTTGAAGACTTTGTACAAGGGGCTGAGAGCTTCATGTTGGTGAATGGTTGGGATGGGCAGCCCCTTTGAGGTTGGGATCTGGGGTGCGCCAGGGGTGCCCGCTGAAGTCCCCCTGGCTCTAATGCCTTTGCCATCGACACCCTTCGTCAGGAGGCTAGATGGTGGGTGCAGTGAGCGGGTTGTGCCGGTGGTGACCCACTGGAGATCGGCCTATGAGAGTTGTGTGGCTTATGCTGTTGACGTTTTCTGTTTACATTTCTGGTCCAGAGGAGGCGCAGGAGGTGGTTTTTAAGTAATGGATCATTATGCCGAGGGCGATCAGGTACTAGGTCAATCAGGACAATATGTGAAGTTCTTTTGGATTGGCAGGGAGGGTGAGTGCTTCTCACTCCCGGACGCCTTCCCCATGACCTCTGCCGGACACATCAAAGTGTTGGCACAATTTATTTTTTTTATTTTTATATTTTTTTTAATTTTGCCATGTTTTTTTAATTTTATTTTGTTTCAATTTTTGGCCCTGCTGATTAGCAGCATGCAAAATTGGGAATCCAGGCTGTCGTGGATGCCGAGGTCAAAGTGATATGCTGGGAAAGGGGTGTCGGCTCTCCTTGAGGGAAAGGGTTCGACTTTGATCAGCGACTTTCCTGCTCCCAGCTTTTTTATACGTCCATCTTTGTTTGCCCTCTTGCCAGAATCGCTCTATGCGAGGATCTATAGCTGTTTCTTCCAGATGTTATGGGGGAATCGGCTGAAACCTCGTCAAGAGGACGTGACTTACTCATCCAGGCGGGAGGGAGGGTGCGCCTATGGTATGGTCAACCCTGTGGGTCTTTTTCTCTCTGATGTTCTTGAAACATAACTTTGGTAACATGCGGCAGAGAGTCCGCCTGCATGGTAGGACTGCCCTTCCGGATCTGGTTTGGACCCTTTCTGCACAGTTGGGAGAGTGGGTGGGCCAGTGAGAAGCCTGCGGGGTTCAAGCATGGTAAGCTCCCGGCTTATGCGGCCCCGTGCCTGAAGTTACTCCGGGCGTGGCAATGTGACTTGCGGAGGAGGTCCTGTCCCTCCCTAGGAGGCTCCTGGGTGAGAGGATTGTGGCATCTGCTTTCCATGCGCCGCTGCCTTGAGAGGAATTGCCCGAGGCCATGTTTTGAGGGAGGGTTTGCGGTTGATAAATCTGGAAGCGGATCCCCCTGAAGTTGCGGGACCAGGCCTGGCTCGCCTTCCACGCAGCTCTACGTGAGGGGTAACCTGAAAGTACCGTCCTCCCGGATGACCGTGGTTTGTCCGAGGTCGGAGTGGGGGGTGAAGTGGAGGGACTATGGACCACTTCTTGCTTCAGTGCCCCTTTAACGTAGAGGTGTATAAACAGGTGGGAGGGTCTCTGGGTGTTCCTTTCCTCCATCGCATGTCGTTATGCGGAGTGGGTGTACGGAGCATTCGAGTGTCGCATGGGTTTTTTGATTTGGACACCTTGGTTTTTAGTCAGCTTAGTTGTCCGTTACTACACTTGGATGGCACGGTGTCAGGTCTCCATTCGGCAGAAGGTCCTCCCTGTTCAGGTGGTGGTGAGTGACATTCTTGGTGAGGTTTGGGAAAATTCGGGGGTCTTGAGCAAGACAGGCTGCGGCGTAGGGCTTGGATGGAGGAGTGGAGGAACATTCAAGCCTGTTGCTGCGTGTCTGTTGATCTCGGGTGATGGGAACTGTCCCTGCTTTCTGCCTCTTGCACTCTCCCTAGCTTTTGCGTTTCGGTCTTTTGGTAGCCTTTTGTATGGTAGGTTGTAGGTGTCAGACGTGGAAGATCTGCGGGTTCCTTAGCCCTCCCCCATAGTGTATAAAATGGTTAGGTGTGTTTTTGTGTATATAGTTTGGGCCATTTAGGCCGTAAGGTGGCAGTTTAGTATGGAAAATTGTTTATGGTTTACGTTTATGTCTGAGCCATAAAGGCTCCTAATTATAGGGTCTTGGCCATAGAGGCCTTGTACACTGCACATATTGTATATAAGTTCCGTTTTTTCCTTTTCAGGTTATGGACTTTTATGTTCTTGTTTATTATTTCTCCCACAGGGGGGTTGGAGATGTTGGTTGGGACTTTTTCAGTTTCTTTGTTTAGTTTTGTATTATTTTGATTCTGTATTTATATTTACTCGTTGTACTTTTATATATAAGTTGAGGATGGATATGTATGACATTAATACATAAATAAAAAATCTCCATCCTGCCTTTTTGTGACAACCACCCACCTCCAGCCTGAACTGCTGATATGTGTGCTGTTGGATCCATCCTGCCTTGTATCAATGGTTTAGGCTGGTGGTGGAGGATCCATCCTGCCTTGGTGACACCACCACCACACCAGCCTGAACGTTGATACAAGGGGCGGGGGCGGGGCGGGGGACAGGATGGATCCATGCTTTCATGTTATTTACGCCAAATTCTGACTCTACCATTCTGATGTCACAGCAACCAGTCTGCCCATTCTCCTCTGACCTCTGACATCAACAAGGCCATCTTCCTCCACACAACTGCCACTCGTGGATGTTTTCGTCAGGACCGTTCTCTGTAAATCCTAGAGATGGGATGTTAGGAAAATCCACGTAGATCAGCAGTTTTTTGAAATACTCAGACAGGCCCGTCTGGCACCATATCAACCATGCCACGTGGCAAAGTCACCTAAATCCCCTTTTTCTTCCCCATTCTGATGCTCAATTTGAAATTCAGCAGAAGGGTCGTCTTCACAACATCTAGATGCCTAAATGCATTGTGTTGCTGCCATGTGATTAGCAATTTGTGTTACCAAGTGATTGAACAGGTGGACCTAATAAAGTGGCTGGTGAGTGTATATCTAAATTGTTAGCACTTCCACCTGGCAGTACTAGGGTCATTGGTTCGAATCCCAACCAACAGCACCACCTGCCTGGAGTTTGCATGTTCTCCCTGTGCCTGCGTGGGTTTCCTCCAGGTATTCAGTTTCCTCCCACACTCCAAAGACATGCTGGTAGGTGAATTGGATCCTGTCTTAAATTGTCCCTAATATGTGTATGTATGAATGTGAGTTAGGGACCTTAGATTGTACACCCCTTGAGGGTTAGGGACTGATGTGAATGTACAATATATATGTAAAAGCGCTGCGTAAATTGACAGCAATATATAAGTACCTGAAATAAATAAATGTGAGATCTACGTAAGTTCTGCTGCCATCCGACTGAGAGTCTCGCCATATATGAAATGAGATTTAGTGATGCCACTACTGTTCTGCTTTGTTGGAAGAATAACCCCTGCCTCTACCAAGATGGCCTCCTCCACACAGAAAATAGCATGGTAAGTAATTAAAGAGGAAATATTCAGCTGCAAGGAGACCACAAGACAATACTGGTGACTAGTCCTTTGCCTTCTGCCTGACATTTTTTTGGCACAGAGCTTAGTTTCCTCTTGAAAGTGACCCTATTGCTTTACCCTACATGGCCAATACAAGAGGTTATTTTGTGTTGACCCTGCATTCACTATATCCAGTCTCCCAGGACCCTGCATTCACTATATCCGCTCTCCCAGGACCCTGCATTCACTATATCCGCTCTCCCCGGACCCTGTATTCACTATATCCGGTCTCCCCGGACCCTGCATTCACTATATCCAGTCTCCCCGGACCCCGCATTCACTATATCGCTCTACCCCGGACCCCGCATTCACTATATCCAGTCTCCACGGACCCCGCAATCACTATATCCGCTCTCCCAGGGACCCTGCATTCACTATATTCGGTCTCCCCGGCCCCTGCATTCACTATATCCGCTCTCCCGGACCCTTCATTCACTATATCCGCTTTCCCTGGACCCTACATTCACTATATCCACTCTCCCCGGACCCTGAATTCACTATATCTGGTCTCCCTGGACCCTGCATTCACTATATCCAGTCTCCAAGGACCCCGCATTCACTATATTTGATTTCCCCGGACCCCTGCATTCACTATATCTGCTCTCCAGGACCCCACATTCACTATATCTGGTCTCCCAGGTCCCTGCATTTACTATATCCGCTCTCCCCGGACCCTGCATTCACTATATTCCGCTCTCTCCGGACCCCGCATTCACTATATCCGCTCTCCCCGGACCCCGCTTTCACTATATCCGCTCTCTCCCGGCCCCGCATTCACTATATCCGCTCTCCCCGGACCCCGCATTCACTATATCCGCTCTCCCCGGACCCTGCATTCACTATATCTGGTCTCCCCGGACCCTGCATTCACTATATCTGGTCTCCCCGGACCCCGCATTCACTATATCCGCTCTCCCCGGACCCCGCATTAACTATATCCGCTCTCCTCCGGACCCCGCATTCACTATATCCGCTCTCTCCGGACCCCGCATTCACTATATCCGCTCTCCCCGGACCCCGCATTCACACTATATCCGCTCTCCCCAGACCCTGCATTCACTATATCCGCTCTCCCTCCCGGACCCCGCATTCACTATATCCGCTCTCTCCGGACCCCGCATTCACTATATCCGCACTCTCTCCGGACCCCGCATTTCACTATATCCGCTCTCCCCGCCCGAACCCGCACACTCACTATATCCGCTCTCCCCGGACCCCGCATTCACTATATCCGCTCTCCCCAGACCCTGCATTCACTATATCCGCTCTCCCGGACCCCTGCATTCACTATATCCGCTCTCCCCGGACCCTGCATTCACTATATCCTCTGTCCTCCCCGGACCCCTGCATTCACTATATCCGCTCTCTCCCCGGACCCTGCATTCACTATATCCGCTCTACCAGGACCCTGCATTCACTATATTCGGTCTCCCGGCCCCTGCATTCACTATATCCGCTCTCCCGGACCCCGCATTCACTATATCCGCTTTCCCTGGACCCTACATTCACTATATCCGCTCTCCCCAGACCCTGAATTCACTATATCTATCTGGTCTCCCTGGACCCTGCATTCACTATATACCAGTCTCCAAGGACCCTGCAATTCACTATATCTGGTCTCCCCGGACCCCACATTCACTATATCTGATTCCTCCCCGGACCCTGCATTCACTATATCTGCTCTCCCAGGACCCCTGCATTCACTATATCTGGTCTCCCAGGTCCCTGCATTTACTATATCCGCTCTCCCCGGACCCTGCATTCACTATATCGCTCTCTCCGGACCCCGCATTCACTATATCTGGTCTCCCCGGACCCCACATTCACTATATTTGATTTCCCCGGACCCTGCATTCACTATATCTGCTCTCCCAGGACCCCACATTCACTATATCTGGCTCTCCCCAGGGAGTCCCTGCATTCACTATATCGCTCTCCCCGGACCCCGCATTCACTATATCCGTCTCTCAACCCCGGACCCCGCATTCACTATATCTGGTCTTCTCGGACCCGGACCCCGCATTCACTATTATATCCGCATCTCTCCCCGGACCCTTGCATTCACTATATTGCTCTCCCCGGACCCTGCATTCACTATATCTGCTCTCCCCGGATGCATTCACTATATCTGGTCTCCCCGGACCCTGCATTCACTATATCTGGTCCCGGACCCCGGCATTCACCTGCTCTCTTCCGACCCCGCATTCACTATATCCGCTCTCCGCTAACTCCCCAGACCCTCATTTCACTTTTATCTGGTCTCCCGGACCCGCATTCACTGTATCCGCTCTCCCCATTCAATATACCGCTTCCCGAACCCTGCATTCTATATAACCCTGTCTGTCTCAAAAAATTTTTTTTTTAAAATTCATATGGGTACAGTGTTGCATGACCGCGCAATTGTCACTCAAAGTGTGATAGCTCTGAAAGCTCAAAATTTGCCTGGACAGGAAGGGGGGGAAAGTGTCAGGACTGGAAGTGGTTAAGGGAGTGATTTAGTCGGCATGCTGGCGGTGAAGAATCCCTACGCCATACAGGGCCCTGCCACTCCAACTGCAGATGATGGATGTCCTATAGAGAAGTCACTATTGCGATTAAGTTTTTTTTCAAAGTTCCATTTTCACCCTGTGTCACATCTGGACACTGCAGGGGCGGACTGACCATTTGGAAACTCGGGCACTGCCCGAGGGCCCGGGGTCAGTAGGGGGCCCCATGAGATGCCCCTGGTACCTTTTTCATAGGCTTTTTTGAGTTTGGGCAAGGACACAGGGGCCCCATGATCCCCTATTGTCCGGGGGCCCCAGGAGTTGTCAGTCCGCCCCTGGGACACTGTTTTCAAAATTTGCAATAAAGCATCATTTTTTTTATATCTCCTTGGGTATCGCTTTCTGTCCATAATGTAACCGCTTTTTTCTTGTGAATTCTTTTTCACACCTCCCCTTTTTTACGGTATTGCTGTGATCTCCCTGAGAGGTAATAGATACCTGGGAGTGATATACCGCACTTACACATATATATATATATATATCTGGTCCACCTAAAGATTTAAATGAAAACTGTAACGGAAACCGGACCCAGACCGCGCTTGGGTACTTTCGTATAATACCGCTTCCCCGTCCGAACACCGACCACGGACACCACCGCTGACCATACAAGACTAGACGACACCAATCTTGAAGTAAACCAGGAAATAGATTACTTTATTTTAACACAGATACAAGATATATACAGTCAGGTCCATAAATATTGGGACATCAACACAATTCTAACATTTTTGGCTCTATACACCACCACAATGGATTTGAAATGAAACAAACAAGATGTGCTTTAACCGCAGACTGTCAGCTTTAATTTGAGGGTATTTACATCCAAATCAGGTGAACGATGTAGGAATTACAACAGTTTGCATATGTGCCTCCCACTTTTTAAGGGACCAAAAGTAATGGGACAATTGGCTTCTCAGCTGTCCCATGGCCAGGTGTGTGTTATTCCTTCATTATCCCAATTACAACGAGCAGATAAAAGGTCCAGAGTTCATTTCAAGTGTGCTATTTGCATTTGGAATCTGTTGCTGTCAACTCTCGAGATAAGATCCAAAGAGCTGTCACCATCAGTGAAGCAAGCCATCATTAGGCTGAAAAAACAAAACAAATCCATCAGAGAGATAGCAAAAACATTAGGCGTGGCCAAAACAACTGTTTGGAACATTCTTAAAAAGAAGGAACGCACCGGTGAGCTCAGCAACACCAAAAGACCCGGAAGACCATGGAAAACAACTGTGGTGGATGACTGAAGAATTCTTTCCCTGGTGAAGAAAACACCCTTCACAACAGTTGGCCAGATCAAGAACACCCTCCAGGAGGTAGGTGTATGTGTGTCAAAGTCACCAATCAAGAGAAGACTTCACCAGAGTGAATACAGAGGGTTCACCACAAGATGGAAACCATTAGTGAGCCTCAAAAACAGGAAGGCCAGATTAGAGTTTGCCAAACGACATCTAAAAAAGCCTTCACAGTTCTGGAACAACATCCTATGGACAGATGAGACCAACATCAACTTGTACCAGAGTGATGGGAAGAGAAGAGTATGGAGAAGGAAAGGAACTGCTCATGATCCTAAGCATACCACCTCATCAGTGAAGCATGGTGGTGGTAGTGTCATGGCGTGGGCATGTATGGCTGCCAATGGAACTGCTTCTCTTGTATTTATTGATGATGTGACTGCTGACAGAAGCAGCAGGATGAATTCTGAAGTGTTTCGGGAATATTATCTGCTCATATTCAGCCAAATGCTTCACAAATCATTGGACGCCGCTTCACAGTGCAGATGGACAATGACCCAAAGCAGACTGCAAAAGCAACCAAAGAGTTCTTTAAGGGAAAGAAGTGGAATGTTCTGCAATGGCCAAGCCAATCACCTGACCTGAATCCGATTGAGCATTTCACTTGCTGAAGACAAAACTGAAGGGAAAATGCCCCAAGAACAAGCAGGAACTGAAGACAGTTGCAGTAGAGGCCTGGCAGAGCATCACCAGGGATGAAACCCAACGTCTGGTGATGTCTATGCATTCCAGACTTCAGGCTGTCATTGACTGCAAAGGATTTGCAACCAAGTATTAAAAAGTGAAAGTTTGATTTATGATTATTATTCTGTTCCATTACTTTTGGTCCCTTAATAAGTGGGAGGCACATATGCAAACTGTTGTAATTCCTACACCGTTCACCTGATTTGGATGTAAATACCCTCAAATTAAAGCTGACAGTCTGCAGTTAAAGCACATCTTGTTCGTTTTATTTCAAATCCATTGTGGTGGTGTATAGAGCCAAAAATGTTAGAATTGTGTCGATGTCCCAATATTTATGGACCTGACTGTACATTCAGGGAGCAACCCCCTCCCTGCCTATTGATACAGGGGTGGGGCAATCTACATTTAGGGAGCAATAATCAGCAATCAGGAGGTAGGTGTAAATGTGTGTCAGATGTAGCAATAGGAGAATCCACTTCTCATAGACACCACCATCTCCAACGGGCACTCGGGGAAAGAACAAAAGCTCATAGTGCAGTACCTATTTAAAAATAATTCGTTTAATATGCACACATCGCACTTACAACAATCGGTGTCCTAGGTGACACCAACTTCAAAAGCATGTCAGATACAATAAAAACGAACCCAGGAGCTTAGCACATGCGCCGGTAGACCACTGGGAAACGTAATGATGTCACATCAATCAGGCCCCGCCCTGGTCTGGTCATTACGTTTCCCAGTGGTCTACCGGCGCACGTGCTAAGCTCCTGGGTTCGTTTTTTTTGTATCTGACATGCTGTTCAAGCTGGTGTCAGCCAGGACACCGATTGTTGTAAGTGTGCATATTAAAGTGGATTCTCCTATTGCTACATCTGATTGCTGATTATTGCTCCCTGGATATCGAGTTTCAAGCCAATTATTGGTTTCTGCAGAGTATTACTCCCTGGAGATCGAGTTTATAGCCAAGTATTGTTTCATCAACCTGCTGACCATCGCTCCCAGAGCAAAAATCGCGTTATGCTGATTTATAATGTACAACGCTGATCGAACTATTGGTGCTTTATAAATACTGTATAATAATAATAATAATAATATAATGTTATCAGCATTTAGCTCTGGTGAGTTTATTTAGTATATTTGGTGGTGGATTGTCACGTTTTTTCTTTTTTTCTTGTGAATTCTTTTTTTACACCTCCCCTTTTTTTACGGTATTGCTGTGATCTCCCTGAGAGGTAATAGATACCTGGGAGTGATATACCGCACTTACACATATATATATATCTGGTCCACCTAAAGATTTAAATGAAAACTGTAACGGAACCGGACCCAGACCGCGCTTGGGTACTTTCGTTATAATACCG